TAAATATAAGCTCAGCTATTTTCATCTTTCACGCTATTTCATGTCTTTTAAACTTTATTACGGTTCTCCTAATCAGCTACTGTCAAGAGAATGAAGAAAATTGTTATTTTTAATAACGAGGCGCAGTAAGCCTTTCTTTGCTAAATAGTAATATTTAGAAATATTGAAAATATTTGTTTTTGCATTGGTTTTCCCTTTTTTGATTATCATATATTATTGATTATCCTATATCATTGCTGTGTCTTATCGGTCTTCCTTTTTAATATTGTACATGTGTAAAAAAGAAATATCTTAAATCAGGAAATATTTAGACTTTACGCATTCATTTAAGGTCAATCAAGTTATAGATGAGGTAGGGAGATTACAGGAAGATATTGCGAAGGCAAGTAGTGCAACGAATAGAAAGATACTGAAAAGAAAAAGACAACCAACTAGAATAGAAGCAGAAAATTCAGAAACTTTTGAAGTGCCCATTGCCCTAAGATCTGGCCAGAGACGTAGAAAGGAAACTCTAGATGTGTGTCACAACATTCATGGAGGTGATGCAGATAATGCAGAGCATGCTTTGGATGGCATGTGAGTGACAATGGTGAATGTGGCTACACCAACTCCACTAATTAATTATTTAAAAAATTCATAAAAAATAATGAAAAGACGTCAACCCGCGGTTTCACGTTTGTGGTAAACTTCAATCTTAAGGTCTCTATTGAAAGAGCTTGTTTGTTAAAGCAAAGACATCAAATCTCTAGGGAGGGAAACTTTGAGCAAGCAAATGCTGTTGATTACGAAGTCAATGATAAAACAGATGAAGATTTTAGCAATTTATTTTGCATAAATAGTGTCGGCACCAACCCACCATTACATGTTGATGTACTTGTTGATGATGTACCAATCGTATTCCATCTAGATATTGGGGCAGGGGTCTCCCTCATGAGCAAGAATGACTTTGATAAACATTTTGGAAATACTACCTTGAGCCCAACTTCTGTTAACTACGTTCTTATTCGGGTAACAAGATTAATGTCGTGGAAGAGAAATTAGTCAAGGTGTCAGTTGGTGATCAGCATTCTAACCTAGTCTTAGTGGCCGTACATGGTTAAATGAGAGTAAAAGAAAGTACCTTAGAAGGAAATTCTTAATGTTAACTGTGTCACGTCTGAGCTTGACAATTTACTAACTGATTTTGCTGAGTTATTTAGGTGTGAGCCGGGTTGTCTGAAGGGATATGAAGCTCACATCCGGATTGAAGAGGATGCCAAGCCTGTGTTCTCCAAGGCAAGACCACTTCCGTTTGCTGATAAAGAAAGGATTGAAGCCGAACTACAGAAACTAGAGAGTCAAGAAATCATAGAGAAGGTAGTCCATTCTGACTGGGCGGCTCCAATAGTGCCTATAGTGAAACCGACTGGTGCCATTCGTTTGTGTGGGGATTACAAGGTGACTGTCAACACTGTGTCTAAACCTGACAAGTATCCGTTACCTAAGGTAGATCCTTGCAATTTTGGCCCATGGTGAGAAATTTACTAAGCTCGAGCTTTCCTAGGCGTATCACCAAATTCCGCTAGATGAAGCATCAAAGAAGTTGACTACGATAAATACGCATGTTGGTCTCTACCAATACAACAGACTTCCCTATGGAGTGTCCTGCGCAGTCATTCTCTTCCAACTCACGATGGAGAATGTTCTAAAAGGAATTGATGGTGTCAGTGTGTACTTGGATGACATTTTGGTCACGGGTCGTGATGATGCTGAGCACTTATCTAACCTCCGAGCAGTGATGAATCGATTACAAGAGTATGGTCTGCACCTACTGAAGACGAAGTGTAAATTCATGCTAGCTGAAGTTGAGTACCTAGGATACAAGATCAGCAAGGATGGAGTCAAACCAACGGAGTCCAAAGCCGAGGCAATCAAGAAAGCAGCATTCATTGGGTTGGTTAACTATTATTCAAGGTTTCTTCCCAACCTGGCCCACCACATGGCGTCATTATACCTACTTCTTAAGAAGGATCAA